TATTAATATATTTTGTCTCGTTATTTTTTTCATTCAATAAGAAATACAAAGAAATCCTATACAGTCTATTGCTTAAAATTAGGTACTAAATTTAAAACTTTCTATCTTCTTATCATACAATTTATGTGCTGTTGCAATTTATACCATAAATATTATGTACATCAACATAATTGATGTATCTAGGTAATTAATAGTKGAATGTGTTTCAACAAAAAAATTATTATCATATGATATTGTAGATATATCACTCAAATATATCCTATAATTTATTAATGAAGATATTTTGAAAAATGAATTTAAAATTTTAATCTCAATCTTCATAATATGAATATCATAGTAGGTACCTATATTATTTTGTTAAAAAATATGTATGCAGAGTGTCCCATAAGGATTTTTAACTATTTTAAGAACAAATGTAATATGGTATTAGTTAATTCATTTTTTTTTTTTTGTATCTGAACTACTATCGTGCAAATACATTAAATATGTCAGTGAACCTTATACAGTGAAGCCTCTAAATACCAGACACTCAGTTGCCGTAATTTTGAACGTTATTTGAGAGGGGAGGGGATAAATTCTTTAAAATGACTAGAAGAAATTAATAATTACATATTTACAACTTATTTTATTATTTATATACTTATTTATAATCAATGATATTTCTATATTTTTATTATTTTAATGCAAATATTAATTGTACATATTATTATTTAAAATTGTATGAAAAACTCAGTTATTTTAACCTTTATGGATAGTAGCCATGCTAAATGACGCCAATTGGCGTCATCCGCAGTACTATCATCTATGTACGTAACTCAAATACTCCACATAATTTAGAAACATAAAACATGATATGATTACACTCAGGAAAAAATAAATACCACCCAATAGTGTTTTTGAATTTTATTCATTTAAATAATATTTAATTCTAATATAAATTACTATATTTWTAAATAAAATTATCAATAATTAAGAATTTACAAATATAATTTTTTAGAATACAATTTTTTTTTTCGTTTTTCATATAGGAGTAAAATTATCTGTGTTGAAGTAGG